GGGACGCCTATCCACAGCAGAATTTGAGAACCACTGCTTTGAAGGATTCCACATCTTTCAATTTGAATGGAAAGATACGGATTGAATTTGACCAATTATCTTTTATCAAGGTCTTTAGCAATTTAGATTAGAGAACATATGATTTATTTCTTAATAAATTGTATTTATTCTAATCCCTCCCAATCTCACTTATTCATACTGAAAGGCTATCTTTTAGTTTTGACAGGTATTATTAAAATTACTGAAGCAGTATTTGGCAAGTCAATTTTGAAGTATTTCCTGAATGAAATATGTTAAGAAAAACATGATCTAACAAGTCAACGTCTATTTTTATTCTTTGCCTTTATGGAGAAGTCTTGAACAGCCTGGTTTTTTTTTTTTTTCCCTCTTGATATGAAACATTCTAAAAATGGGAATTTTTTAAAGGAAGAAATGATGACATTTAGCCTCTGTAATCTTTATGGCATTGGTGGGTATCATTGCAGCCTTTCTAAATCTTTCTTTAGAAAAGAACCCAAAGTAGAACTTTGCCTATTTTCTTCTAATTCATTTAATTAAATGTTCTACCTACCTAGAAGCCAAGTGTAAGCTCCTAAATAATTTCTGACATGAGCTAAATTTTACTTCTGATTCATAATGACAGATTATAATCCTATGACAGTTACAGAAAATTAATTAGTTATGAAGAGCAAGAACTCTAGAAATAAAAATGCAGAGGCTGAAAATTGAATTGTAATTTTTTTCACACCATGTGGAACTAGTCAAGTGAAATTAAAGAACTCGGGTCACTAAAATAATATTAAAGAAGCACTTGACTATACCATTGGTTTATTAAAATAAGTATATATCACATTCTAGCAGTATGAAATTACATGTAATGCACACAATATTGTAGCTGTGATTACAAACTTGCCCGAAATGCTACTTACTGTCAAGCATGAAACTTGTAAAACTCAAAGATTAGTCCTAATACTTTTGAGTCACTTTAGGTACATATTGAGAAGACGTATTTTGGGCTCTACCCCAGATGGACTGAATCAGTCTCTGGAGGGAATGTCCTGGGAATCTGCATTCACAGTGCTAAACATTTCCAAATTACCAACATCGCTACCATTCTGGCAGGAGTGCCGGCTTCTTCCATATCTGTGGGACTCAGATCCCCCAGTCAGCAGTGCTTCATTCCGTCTTAGAGAAAGACATGTGGTGCTTACCAGAAATCCACAGCTAAAAATCTGTAGGCAATACAATTGGGCAACTTCTTAAAGAAGCAATGAACTTTGTCCTTTTTCAAACATCTCATTTGGTCTAGAAATGTATGGGCTGGTGTTAAAATCCAGTTTCAATTAATTGTCTTACATCACCTGGGCAAGTTTAATGGTGACCCCAACTACAGCTTTCTCACTTCACTGATCCATTGATGGGCAAATGCTTTCTCTATTTTCTAACAGAAAGATAGAAAACTAGTCTACATAATACTGCAGGAGGTTTTTGAATAGAAAATTCCTCAGGTGTCCTGTTTATATGGGATTTGATTTTCATTAGGTTTGTTTAATGAATATAGTTCATCTCCTAGAAAGAGGCACACAAATGCTGGTGAATTTAAGAACAAAAGACTGCACTAATTACAGATTGTATTCCCGTTTGCTTCTCATGAGAAGGAAGCAATATTCCATGATGTCAAAGGCTGCCTACCACAAATTTCTTTACTGCAGGAATTTTAAAATATTTAATGAGCTATTCATAAATAATGAACATCTAAGGGAGATAATATAGTAAGCTGTATTTTCCAAACTATTTGATCTTGAAATCCTTCCATCTGCCAATTTTTCTCTGGGCCCATTGTTCTAAGGACTTGCTGCTGAAGGTGTGGTCCTCGCACTACCAGGGAGTTTGTTAGAAATGCAGAATCTCATGGCCGACCCCACACCCACTGAATTACTGGTAATTGTCTGATATTAATTTAGCCATTCAACTTCCTTCTGATTGGTGTTTGTATGGCATTATCTTTTCCCATCCTTTTCTTTCGAACTGATTTATCTTTATACTTAAGGTGTATTCCTAGTAAATAAACTTTTGCTTATTTATTCAATCTGACAATATCTGCCTTTTAATTTGGACATTGAGACCATTTGTATTTAATATAATTGTTCATGTGGTTGGATTTAGATTTGACATTTTTTAAGTTGTTTTCTATTTGCCAATTTGTTCTTCATCCTTTTTTCCCCTGTATTCTTGACTTCTTTTGGATTATTTTATTATTCCCTTCTATCTCCACTATTGGCTTATTAGTTATACCTCTTATTAAAAGATTTTAGTGATTGCTGTAATGTTTACATATACATCTGTAATTTATAACAGTCTAACTTCAAGTACCATTATGTCACTTTATGTATAGTGAAAGAACTTTTTGAGAGTATGCTTCCATTTCTTTCTTTTCATTATTTGTGGTACTGTTGTCTTTCATTTTAATTCTACAGATAAGCCCCACAGTGCACTGCAACATTTTTCCTTTAGATGAATTATCTTTTAGAGTGATTAAAATAATAAAACTTTTATATTTACTTTCATTTTTATAATTTATAGAGCTATTTATTTCTTTGTGTAGATCCAAATGCTGAAGAACTCCTTAATATTTCTTGTAGTGAAAGCCTGTTGGAAATGAAAAAAAAAAAAAGCTTCATTTGCCTTCCATTTTTTTGAAAGATATTGTAAATGGGTATTGAATTCTGGATTAATATTTTTTTTTCTTCCACCACTTCAAAGATGTCACTCCATTATCTTCTGGCTTACATGATTTCTGACAAGAAGTGTGATGTAAATTTTCTCTCTCTGTTTGCAGTGTTTCATTTTTCTCTGGCTGTCTTCAAGATTTTCTGTTTCTCTTCAGTTTTCATTAATTTAGGAACATTCTCAGATTTATGTCTTAACTATTTCCTCTGCTTCATCCTTCCTCTCCCTTCTGGGACTCCAATTATGTCAGTTAAACCACTTGATATTGGCTCACAGATCTTGGATGCCCTGCTATCTATCTATCTATCTATCTATCTATCTATCTATCTATCTATCTATCTATCTATCTATCTATTCTTTCCTTGTGTTTCTATATGGGTAGATAATTTCTATTTACCCATATTCAAGTTCACTAGTAATTCTTTCTTTCCTCAGCTACTTCCAGGTTTCTGATAAGCCCACTGAAGAAATTCTTCAATTCTAATAATGTGCTTTTAGTTTTTAGCACTTCCATTCGACATTTTTAATTGTTTTCATCTCTTTGCTGAAATTTCCTATATGTTCTCAGATGTCCCTCTTTCCACTAGATCCTTTATTAATTGTAGTCCAACATGTGGGTCATTTTTGAATCTGATTCTGTTGATTTCTTTAGCTTTTTGATAATGGATTCTCCCCCCGCCCCCCGCTTGTTTGGGTGTCTTATAATTTTTGATCGAATGGGTATTATGAAAAAACAATAAAGACTAAGGAAAGTAATATTTATACCCAGAAATGGGCATGCAAATCCCGCCTTTATCTGTGGTGTGTCTTGAGTGAGAGAGGGTTTCCCAGCGGCTGCCAACCTCTACTTTGCGTCATGTCAAGACACTGAACCCCAGTGTTTCCTGCTCCCCCGGGGGTGAGAGTTTGTGCTTCTATCTCTCCACTAGAAGCAGGGGTCTTTGCCATGGCTCTGTTGGGGGTGGTATTTTCTGCCCCTTCCTGTGGCTTAAGGTTTCCATATGAAAGGAAAGTTTGGGGAGTTTAGGTGGGATTTTATGATTGTCACCTAATGACAGAACTGTCACTTTCTACGATTCTGTTATCTCTGGAAGAATATTTATTGCTATCCTGTAGAGAGGAATGTAGTGTTTTGACTTAGGTTCTGTACTAAGAAGCTAAAGATATTTATTAAGGATATGCTACATGAAGAGCACTTTAAATATTAATTTAATACACTGCTTCCTGTTCTTTTGTTTCTCTACCCGATACAGCTGTAGGAAAACACACTTGTTATTCAAGAATATACCTGTTTCTTTTAGGCACGTTTCATAGTGCCATTCAAAATTAAACAAGATCAAAATGGGTATGATTAAGGAAAAAACCGTTATGCAAGAGGCAAGTGCAAACCTCACACTGAGATCAGAGGCTCTGCTGTTTCTCTGGAGATAGTCTGCAGGGTCAGACGAGGTGGGAGTTCGAGTAATAACAGTTTCTTCTCAAAACTCACCCCCTTCAAGATTCCCTTGCAGAGATATTTCTGAACTCGAGTCCTTTACAAGGAGATTTCTGAACTTTCTAAAAGCCGTATATGGGTGTGTACATGGCACCAGGGGTTTGAAGGCAATTGGTTAAACTTTACTTTGAAGCCAGGACAAGTCTGGTGAGTTCTACTCAGACCTTTGGGGAAAATGAGGCTAATCTATTTTTAGAGGACGATTTCTGTCACAATTCGGTTCTCTGAAGTACCTTAGCAGAAGCCCAAAATTAGAAAAGAGGAAATGATCTTTTGTTCCAGGGAATGTTTAGTATAAAATACCAAATCACATTAATGAGTTTCCAGGGCTTGAGAAGGGTTTGTTTGCACTTAAAAAAAAAAAAAAGTACAGTATAATAGTATTTAAGGCTACAAGTTCTATATCAATTATCAATATTAAAGCCACTCAAGATATTTTTCCAGTTCTATTGATATGATTGACATACAACATTGTGTCAGGGTGTAGTATAATGATTTGAAAAACGTATTAATTACAAATACAAGTTTATTTAACATCCATTTCCTCAGCTTTTTTTTTTATGATGAGAACTTTTAAGACCTGTTACCAGCTCTCAAATATACCTTACAGTATTGTTAACTTTAGTCATCATTACATCCCAAGAACTTGTCTTTTGCATCTTCTGATCTTCACCCAATTCACTCACTTCCCACAGGTTCCCACACCAACCACCAATTAGTTCTCTGTATCTAAAAAATAAAAGCTGATTTTAAGGGATATGTTATATTTGTCAGAAAATGTTTTATATCCTCTTTATACTGAAATGTGAGAAGTTACTTAAGCAATGAAACTGCCAATTTGTGATTGCTTGTTACAGACAAAAAGGAAAATGAAAAAATAAAAAGGAAAATTAAACACGGACTTCTTATAAAAAGGGGGGTTGCTGAAGAGCCTGCGCCTTCCTGGGGTGTCACTCCCGGGAACTCTTGAGGACTGAGCCCTAAAACCCCGCCAGTCGAAAATCGGGGGAAGTTTTAGGCACAACTCACGGGGAGGGGGCCTCCTCCCCAGACCCTGGCCCAGACCGCGGAGACTGGTGGGAGGGGCCCCCGGCCTCCAGGGAAAGGCGGGGCGGGGGCCGGGAGGCGGGGAGGGGCCCGGGCGGGGCGGCGCGGAGGCGGCGGCTGCGGCCCGACTCTTCCTCCTCGGGGGAGGCGGGACGTCCGCCTCGACGGCGCGCAGGCCTCACCGCCCCCCGGCCTCGTCTGGGCCCCGCGCCGCTTCTGCTCCTCTTGGCTGAGCGCGATCCCCTAGGGCTCGGGCCGCCGCGGGGCCGCCCGGAGTTGACCCCCTGGCGGGATGCGGCCGTGCTGGCTGCTGCTCTGGCTGCCGCCCCTGGCCGCGCCGCCCGCGGGCGCCGTGCGCTGGGAGGAGGAGGCGGCGGCGGCGGCCGCGTTGTCAGGTATCCGCGGGCACGGGCGGCGGGCGCGCGCACGCTCCCCTTCCCCCTCCTTCCCGCTCGGCTCTCCCGACTTCCCGGCGGCGGACCGCGCCCTCCCTGCCCGCGCGCCAGGGCCCCGGGCACGGGCGGCGCTTCCCTGCCCAGCGTAGGGCTCCCCCGCAGGCGCGGCCTGCGCGCGGGCCAGGCCCAACTTCCCTTTCCGCCGGCTTGGGCTTTCCTGGTCCCTGTGCTGGCGCTTAGACACAAGGATTTCAGGACTAGAAACAATGGCAAAGTTCTCTCTGGGCCAGTGCCCTCGTTTTACAAAAGCACCAGAAGATAGTCACTGCTACTGATGACCCTAGTCTCCGGACTTTCAACACAGGGCGTTTGTATACATCAGCTTAGGCTGAAAACCATATTAGCTCTCGATCTAGCTGTAACTTTGCACTAAAGACTAGAGAAGGTAAGAGCTTTGGCTCTAGAATTCCACTGAAATTCCCCTGCCCTGACTAGCTCTGTGACCTTGAGTGAGTCGTGTTACTGGTCACGCATAAAACACAGGTGATACTATTTCACAGGATTATTGTGATGTTTAATGTGTGCAGAGTGCCTGGTAGTAGGAATCAAAGGGCAGGTGCTCATAGTGTTGTTAGGGGCTGTCTGTGGAGTGCTCTCAAGATCCTGACACAGCAGGGCAAGTCAGGAGTTAGGACTCCAGAACTGCTACTAATTTGCTATGAGTTTAACATTTCTATTTCATTCTCCCTCCCGTGAAATCCTTTAAATGATTTCCTGGAATCACTGTACACTAACTCCTCTTCATCTCATTGCCCGCCTTTGGTTGCAAGGGCGGCAACCAAGTGTGGTCTTTAGCTGGGCACAGCTGCTCTCCTCCAATAGAATCAGGATTCTTTGTCTAAGGATGAAGGCAATTATCAGATTCAGCTGGAGATGCCAACTCATGGGAATCTTGCAATGAGGTATACTTTGGGAGACTATTCAATACCAGTTTTCATTGAACAGACATTTCTTGTGTTTACTATGTGCTGGGCAGTGTTAAAAGTGCTTTAATCTGCATTGCCTTATTTTTAATACCTATAGTAGCCCTTCGGGGTAGGTACCACTTATATACCCATTCTACAGATACAGAAACAAAGGCTTGGTAGTAAGAAACGTAACCAGCATACACTGTTGAAAAAATAAATCACAGGTATGTCTAAGAAGGAGGGTTTCTGAGCATGGCAACAGCCAGAAAATTGTAAGTAGCCCTGGACCAACATCCAGCACCTTGATTTCTAGATCAGTCATTACATTCAGCCACCCACTTGTAGAATTACCTTGGTCCAGCACATAAATCTTTATGGGCCATAGTTTTCTCATCAGTAAAATGAAGATGTTCTATAGCTGAATGATCTCCAATATTTTCCTCACCTTTTATTTACCTTAGTGAACCCAATGTTTTTCAGGGTTTTATGTTGCTGCATTTGGTGTTAACGCTGTCAATGTCTATATTTTGTTAATCAAATCATATATAAATGCTTCTGTTCTGCCTGATGCAGGATACCTGCTGAGTTAATGAGATTCTAGCCCAGAGCCAAGAAAAATGGCAGCTTCTGTAGCCTTATAGCAACACTTGCCGTTCCAGATGGGCTTTACAACTCAAGCATCCAGAATCCAGGATCCTGGAGTGTGCCCCTGACACCTCTGGTGTTGGAACCTCTGGATTAGACTAAGTCTGAGAGCCATTGCTGCCCTAAAAGTCTGCAGTTTTATGAGGAACCCTGAGATCAAACAGCTGGTACTTCCTTTTATTAAAAAAGGGGCCCCAACTATAATGTGAGAGACTTGGATTAGATTATACTTCCTGTTCTAAAATTCTGTCTTGAGCACACATACCCTTGGATGGATTGGAGAACAGCCAGACTGAGGCCAGCTTTCTGTCACTGTATCTGGAGGAAGGTCAGAGGCAGTTGACACAGGAGTGGCGAGTAGTTGTCTGGCTGAGAGGAAGAGAAACTTCAAGCCAAGAGACATCCATAGTTTGCAACCAGTGAGTGAGGTCCCTAGAAACCATGTGTTGTCCTGAGACGAAGTTCAGGTCATAGCAGTGAATTCCCAGGACTGAACTACAGCAATCAGCCATTCAAAACCACAGCTTTCTGATTCATCTGTGGAGAAGCAAATCAATTCTTGAAGTTAAAATCAGACCCGTATGTGCGTCAGCAGGTGGTATTTTCAGTTTCATTCTCTATGCACGTTCTTGGAGAAATGAAAACCAAGATTTAAATTCAAGCCAGGTTAAAAAAAAACAGCTGGGGTTAGTAGAGAAGTTACTTTTGTAACATGCTAACTGCTTTGAAAATGAATTTACGAAATAATACCAAGAAAAATCCTTCCTCCCTTTGAACTCTCAGGAGTTAAGATTTGTTGCTTTTTGTATTCTCTCCCTCCCCTTACTTGTCTCAAAACAAAAGCAGTTTTATAGGCCAAATGGAAAAAATGGCAGTCTAATTTAATAAGTGGTTTATTATTCTGTTATAATTTCATCTGAAGATTTTTTTTCACCATAAGGGCCATGTAAGGTTAAGTTTTCAGAAGGACCATTGCTGAAATATTTTTATGTTGGAGATTGTTTAAGATCTGCTAAGATTTGAAGAATGTCTGTGCTTTTTATTTTTAGTATATTCTGTAAGTAGGTTTAAGTACTACCTGCCCTTTTCTGAAGTTTTGACTGAATATTTTTACCTTCTGTATGACTAAACTCTCACTTAAATATATCCTTATACATTTAGGAAAACTAATAAATGGCAAAGGTCGTACAAAGGAGTAACTTTGGATTTAATTTATTAGTCAAATCAGGTAATACGCAGCTGTCCCTTTTTTATATATAAGATACCTAGTCCTAACATTAGATTACTGAGTATTTCCAAATTGGTATTTAAAGTGAACTGAGGGATCTCAGTGGTTATGGGAGCCCTGATTCGAATTCTTTGGTAATGGAAATAATTGTGCTTTGTCTTAGCAATTGGGCACAACTGTTTAAAAGCATATTGTTCTCCAGAAGTCAGGTTTATTGAAAGGTTCAGGAGAGCCTGCCAAGGACTGCAGAGTGAAGAAGGGCCTTGCTCGGTCCCTGGCCTTGCTGGGTGGCCGCAGTAAGGCGGGCGCTCAGGGTTGGTCCCGCACTTACTCCTAAGTGCTTGGGAAATGAGGCAGAGAGCCCACGCTTGCACCCATGCTCCTGATCTGAATCCGGTTTGAGGAAGTGCATACCTAGGTTATGGGGGTGCCCTCTGGGTAGGAGGCGTGTTTCAGCTCCAGGGGGAAGCAGTGGCTTTCCCTGGCAGGTGGTGTTCTCTTCTGACCAAATGAATGGTTATTGTGACATTTTTATGAATCCCTAGAAATTTGCTTTCATTTTCTGGATGGCATTGTAAAGGGTTATTGTTGATATTGTGATATATTTGAATTTGCCTGCATTTGCCACTAGGAAGTTCCATCCTAACTGAATGAACAAGCAAAGACTGAGGTCACGTGAGTAAATGACACCTGCAGACGTGCTGGCAGCTTCACGGCCTTCAGTGTCAGGACTTGAACAGGTGATAGAAGTTCAGCTAAGCAGGCTACCTTTTCTATTTCCCACCCTCAGGAGAAGATAGAGGAAATGGAAACTGAA